GGAACCACTGCTGTCACTCCCTGTTCAAGCACTGCAGTAACTTTATCATAGCAGCTTTTAGAGACGAGTTTCTGACTGATAACGTTAAAGGTTTCGGAGCTCTGGGATCAGAGCCGTTTCTGGACCTGCAGAAATCCAAAGTCAACTATCGTAATCGGAAGTGAAAAAAATGTAGATCGGTGCGTCTTCCTTTTCCAACACGTCAAATCTAACGTCGGTCACTTTTACGTCACAGCTTCTCCTCAAGCTGCTACCACAACAACAGCACTGATTCAAGGAGCGGCCCGACAGGTTCAGCCTGAGAGAGGAAGAAAAAAAAAAAAGAAAGGGTTGGTTTCATAGCTTCAGGTGAGGAAATAATAAGAACCAACGTGCGTCCCGGAAAGTTCACCCAGTGTCATCAGCCGTAGGTCAAACAGAACTTCCTGATGCGTTTGTTCCAATTACTGTGGCAGTAAAGCAGAGCGGAGAATAAAACCTGAAGCCTTCAGCTGCAGAGGTGCACTTCATGAACCCGATTCAGGTCGCTTGGTGCATTTTACTTTACTCTCCATAGAAAAAAGCTGAAAAACTAAAGAATGGTGCCGTCTGTCATGTCAGCTCCACTTCTCCTGCATCCAGAGGACCTTCCTGAGTTTGGTAGATAATCAGGAGACAACAGACACACAGGAGCAAAAACAAGACCATGGCATTATGCTTCGCTCATTTCCCCTCACCCAGCTGTTTCCTCTATTTCTTTCTATACTTTTAATCTTCCATCCTTTTCCTGTCTCTACTGCATCATCTCCCACTTGGTGCAGACTGTGGTCACACTCCTAAATCCACTACAGTAGAAACCAGGCCATGAGGCGAATGTAATGCAACCTTTATTCACCTACAAAATAAAAAAAACCTCACACCGTAAGCCCGGCGGTAGGAGAAGGAAGGCTGCAGACTCTCGAATGCAGCGGCTAAAAATACGGTAGTCCTTTAAAAGTCTCAGCTATTGATAGCCTGAGTCTGCTTACAGTACAGAGGAGATTCTCTGCAATCCCGCTGATGTGCCTCAGCAGGGTTTTTATGCTGCTGACGGAGACAGAATGATCCCCAATTGGATCCTTGCTCACTTTTAGAGCATTTATGCAAATATTAAAACATTAACTCAATTCAGTTTATTTATATAGCGCCAAATTCACAACACATTTCATCTAAAGGCACTTTACAGTTCAACCAGATCATCCAGTCAGATTGATTCAAAGTTTTCTATCTAAGGAAAACCAGTTGATTGCATCGACTCATTGACTCAAATACAATCCCTCTCACTAAGCATGCTTGTAGCGACAGTGGAGAGGAAAAACTCCCTTTTAACAGGAAGAAACCTCCAGCAGAACCAGGCTCAGTGTGAGCGGCCATCTGCTGAGGCTGACCAGGGTTCAAGGAGACAGAAGCAGAAAATATTAGAATTTAAAGCTTTAAACAACTTAACTTTTTGTGAAGGTTGGTAATTAAAACCTGCAGCTTTAAGACAGCAGAACTTTAGCTAAAGCTCCGTCACTCCTTGATGATTTAAGGGCAGATTATAATTCTGCAGCCGCACTCGTCAAATGTCGCTTGGGTCTGGTTGCAAACCAGTTTTGCTGGTATGCTTCTGCACCGTCGGTCTGGAATTTCTAGGGAAGCACAGCAGTTTCCTGCCAAACTTCGGAGGAAGGCGGATAAAAATGGTGCGCCCCGGCACAGAATGGAGAAGGGCGACCATACAGACAGCCGGAAAGGCATACCAAGGACCAATCACAGCTGCTTTTTGTCTCCGCAATTCCGCTGCACAGGTTTGCGACCCTCTGACGTGTTGTCAGGATATTTTTGAGGTGGGCGACGACGGCTGCAGAACCACTGCGCGGGGGGCGTGGTCGAGCACAGAGACAGATTTGACATTTG